AGGGATATCTGCAATGATGTACTGTCTCTTTTGGAAAAGTTCTTAATCCCCAATGCTTCACAAGCAGAGAGCAAAGTCTTTTATTTGAAAATGAAAGACGACTACCGTTACTTGGCTGAGGCTGCTGCTGGTGATGACAAGAAAGGGACTGTGGACCAATCACAACAAGCATACCAAGAAGCTTTTGAAATCAGCAAAAAGGAAATGCAACCAACGCATCCTATCAGATTGGGTCTGGCCCTTAACTTCTCCATCTTCTATTACGAGATTCTGAACTCTCCAGAAAAGGCCTGTTCTCTGGCAAAGACAGCTTTTGATGAAGCCACTGCTGAACTTGACACATTAAGTGAAGAGTTATACAAGGACACCACGCTAATAATGCAATTACTGAGAGACAACTTGACACTGTGGACATCGGATATCCAAGGAGATGAAGCTGAAGAAGGAGGAGGGGAAAATTAACTGGCCTTCCAACTTTTGTCTGCCTCATTCTAAAATTTACACAGTAGACCATCTGTCATCTATACTGTCCCACAAATAGTTTTTTGTTTACGGTCTATGACAGGTTTATGCTACTTCTATTTGAATTTCTATATTTCCCATGTGGTTTTTATGTTTAATATTACGGGAGTAGAGCCAGTTGATATTTAGGGAGTTATCTGTTTTCATCTTGAGATGGCCAATATGGGGAAGTGGAATTTTTATACAAGTTACAAATGTTTGCCATAGTACTTTTGGTACACTGAGGCTTCACAAGGGCCAGTGTTAAAACTGCTTCCATGTCTAAGCAAAGAAAACTGCCTACATATTGGTCTGTCCTGGTGGGGAATAAAACGGATCATTGGTTCCAGACACAGGTGTAGTTATTGTGGGTACTTTAAGGTTTGGAGCACCTCTGAGGCTGTGGTAGAAACAGATAGCCCATGGGTCTTCCGTGTATGGAGGCTTGTGTTTCTGGGGAGTGAGCAGTCTGAGCGCGCACACCTGTGACTGCAGCTGCGGGGGTGCTCCTTTAGACAAAGTTGGCACCCATTTACTCTGGATAAGGGCAGAAATGGTTCACATTCCATTATTTGTAAAGTTACCTGCTGTTTGCTTTCATTATTTTTGCTACACATTTTATTTGTGTTTAAATGTTTTAGGCAACCTAAGAACAAATGTAAAAATAAAGATGCAGTAAAAATGAATTGCTTCGTATTCATTATTTCATGTATATCAAGCATAGCAGTAAACAAAAAAACCCATGTATTTAACTTTTTTTAGGTTGTTTTTTTTTTGATACTTGTCTAACATGCATGTGCTGTAAAAATAGTTAACAGGGAAATAACTTGAGATGATGGCTAGCTTTGTTTAATGTCTTAAGAAATTTTCATGAACAATCCAAGCATAATTGTTAAGAACATATGTATTAATAAGTTCATGTAAGTGGAATAAAAGTTTTATGAATGGACTTTTCAACTACTTTCTCTACAGCTTTTCATGTAAATTAGCCTTTTGGTTTTGAAACTTCTCTGAAGGAAATTGTATGTTCTTAGAAATTTATTTCTTCCCTCTTGGCAGCTAATGGGCTTTTTCCAAGTTTAAAGGCAAAGTTTATCATAACAAAAATATAGTAATATAACTGCCATTCTCAACCATATCCCATGTCTCCCCTTTCCCCCCTAAAAAATAATTGAAATGAAAAAAATTTATTTTATGATGGAAGGGGAGATTGGAAAAAAATTAATGTGTTCCATTTAAAATTTTGGTATATGGCATTTTCTAATTTAGGAAGCCACAATGTTCTTGGCCCATCATGATATTGGGTAGCATTAACTGTAAGTTTTGTGCTTCCAGATCACTTTTGGTTTTTAAGAATTTCTTGATACTCTATAGCTTGGCTTCAATTTTAATCTTTTATTCTCTTTGTCAGGTGCACAAGATTACCTTTTTAGCCGTCTGTCTTGTCACCATCCATTCCTATTTGGTGGCCATGTGCTTGGGAAAAGGCCGCATGATCTTTCTGGCTCCACTCGATGTCTAAGATACCTGCTTCCTCTGCTTGCATCCCACATACTACTTCCCTCATCCTCTTCACTTGGCACGTCTCTCCTTAGTTGGTGAGATTGTGTTTTCTCCCTGTAAACCCTCCCTGTCCTGATAGTCTGTCATTGTCTGCTTTTAAAATTCTTTCTCTCTCTCTCTCTCTTCTCTAAATAATGATGGGGCTAAGTTACACCCAAAGCTCACCCTACAGAATATTTCCTCAGTACTTTACAGAAGACACCAAACAAAAATGCCATTTTAAAAGAGGTGTATTTTTTTTTCCTTTTAGAATGTAAGCTCCTCAAGAGCAGGGACAATGTTTTCTGTATGTTCTATTGTGCCTAGTACACTGTAAATGCTCAATAAATATTGATGATGGGAGGCAGTGAGTCTTGATGATAAGGGTGAGAAACAAATCCCAAACACTGTTTTGTTGCTTGTTTTACTGTCTCAAAATTAAACTGGGAAATGCCAGCCCTTTTGGACACTGTCCCAAACATAAGCATTCAAATAAAAGTGCAGTGGGGGTCTTGGGCTCTTTATTTCCAGAAGGAAAGATCTCATATTTGGGGTAACAGAATGGATCTTGGTTCATAGCTCGTTTACTTTACCTATTGATGTCTACTGATCCCGGGCCAAGGAGGTGAAATCATCGCTTTTATAGTTAAGGGTGGGCTGTCATCTGAGTAAATTATAAATAAAATCTGAAATGTCATATTTGCCTGTTAGCTGTTTATATGCATTAGGCATCTATTAACCTAGTTTGGTTTTTGAAATAGTGTTAAAATGTTTAATTAGCTACTTAGTGTTTTGTACGTAGTAATGTCTGGTAGATAAAGGGAAATTTCCACCCTGAGATTTTTTTCCCCCTTGGAATTTGAATGAATTTGTTGGTAACTTCTATCCCTGATTGTCCCAAATGAGGGTTTCATGTCTGTTATCAGTCTGACATGATAGTGCCAGGAGATCAGAGACTCCAGCAGTGTGTTTTGTGTATGTGAAGTAACTGGAATTAGTTTTTAAAAATAGAGCCCATTTGAGTTGCCCTTTGGAGTGTGGAGCAGGTTTCCTGCAGCTGATTTCCTTCAACCTGGAAAGATCATGAGGAGTAGTGCGCTATAAGAGAATTAAAAGAGTATGTCCAGTGACTTGATTACAGGGCTCAGTATTTTTCTTCCTGTTTTTCTACAAAGTAGTCACCATTTTCTCCATGACCTCTGTGAAGGCAGACTTGGACGCTGCAGTCTTGTCCTCAGACCCCAACTTGAGAAACATTGGAAACTCAACAGAGATGTCTAAACATCTGTAGGGTCTGTGCAGATCCAAGATCTTGGAGACGTCAGAGTGGCAGCATTGTATAACCTCCACTGTGAGAACACAGTTTGAGTTCCCACATTCCTACAGCGAAGGCCAAGAAGTACAGGAAACTGACAATAGTGGGTTTGAGGTACAGTCTTCAGGTGGTGCTGAGGCTGGGCACTTGGAAAATGGCTCGAGTTGGAATATTTTCCTCAGTATGAAATTTAATAAAATACTGTCTGTGACTTAAAGTTGTCCAAATCTCACTGGTTAATTTTAGTTCTTGAGAACGTGAGAAATGTAAAAAGATTTTTGGGTCTAGGTTAGTTTTGGATATTGGTTTTTAACAAGCCTCACCACAGGTCTCTTTCATATGCAAACCCATCACAGTAGTTTTATCTGTTTAGCCCTGAAAACTAACACTAAAAATACTGTCTGTGTGAAGTCCAAGTCTGATTATACATTTGATGACTGAACGTCTGTGTTTGAAAACCTGGAAGTTAACTACAATAGTTAAACTCTTGATAGACCAGCTCTGGAATACCATATGCACCTGCCCTGTGTTAGTGTTGCCCCGACCTAGTTTGCAAGATGTCCAGCCTTTGTGTTGGATGAGTGCATAGGTATCCTTGGCATGTGGAAACTAAATGTGAATATATCTGAGCTCATACCATAGGTGATGGCAGGGGCCCAAATACTTGATCATAGTTGGTCTGTTTGTAACAACTAGCCTAATCCTAGTCAAAGGCATGTCTATTCAGTTAATTCCCAGTGGCAGGACTTAGGGACAAGACCCCCATCACTTGGTAGGTCTTCTAACGGGGTTGGTTGGCTATGGCCAGCCACTGTTCTTGTGTCAAGGCTTTTCAGAGATTATGATTCACTTAGGACTTGCAGAGTGAATGAGCTCCAGATGGAAGTAATAACATGTACCAGGGCATCAAGATGAAAGTTAAGCAGACTCAAGTTCGTGGGCTCTGCAGAAAAGAGATGGGCGATGTTCTGCCTCCAGAGTCCTGTGGTTTCCATTTCCTGGTGCTTTAGGCTCTCCTGAGAACTTGTGAACCTATTCCCAAGCACATTTTTTAAGGTTATCAGTTTTTCGAGTTGGTGCTCAGAAATAGGTGTTACTCTTGGCAAAATTCTCAATGCAGTGTCCACAACAGCTGAAGTCTGTGTGGAGGGGTTCAGTGATAGGAAAATAAGGGTGTGCCAGATTTTACATTTTGAGCCAAGAAAAGCGGAGGTAAAAGTAGAAGGTAAGTTTTTGAGTCTCAGCAGATAACGTTATCCCCAAAAGGAGATTAAGGCTAAAAGTTATCAAAAGGTTTTTCACATAGTGAACCTGGTTTAGTTTGGAAGTGTATGTCATTTAGAACATTTACCACATTGGGATGGAGGAAGTTATAATGATTTGGGGAATTTTTTTTGGATGAATGCCACTTGTATTTTTTTTAACAGCGTAAAAGTCACCTCCAGGACTTTTTGGAGACTAGAATGTTCATAAGATTTAGGTGAATAAAATAGACATCAAGCTGGGCGTGGTGAGGCACACCTATAATCCCAGCACTCTGGAAAGTCTGAGGCAGGAGGATCAAAAGTTTGAGCCCAGCCTGGGCAACTTTGTGACTTGGTGAGACCATGTCCCCAAAACGGGCTGGAGATGGGTTCAGACCCTTTGCTTGCTAGGGTTGGGGTCGGCTGTCAGCTTAAGTAGAAATCAGGCAAAGTGGGCTGGGGATGTGGCCCAGTAGTGTAGTTCTCCAGCGTGTGCCGAGTCAACCCCCCAACAGAAAAAAGTAGAAAAGATTGTGAACAGGCATTTCATGAAAGAAAATATTTGGCCACTAAAATGGAAGACAACGGGAAATACAAACCAAGACCACAATGAGATACAATTTTACCCTCACTAGATTAGTGTGGTTTAAAAGTGTGGCCTTGCCAAGTGTTGGAAAATGTGGTTTGAGATTTTTTCTTTTTTACACATTGCTGGTGGGAATTTAAATTGGTGCATCACTTTAGAAAACCATGTGGCATTGTAAGGTTGAGCAGCCACATCCTTATTACAACCTAGCAATTCTTTCCCAAGAGTATCTCTTAGGAAATTGTGAAAGAATACTGGTAGCTGCACTGAATTAGAGGGGGAAATAACTAATCTACATGTTTATCAAAAGGAGAATGAATGAGAGATACGTTACTTGCCCATGTATATATCTTCAATGGTGAAAATGAATTAATTATAACCATTTGCTAACAAAGATAAACATTAATAACAGTGTTGAGTGGAAAAAGAGCTCCAGTTGACCTCACAGCATGACCCTTACAGAATTTAAAAATGAACAAATATTTTGCTTAGATGCATATGTGCTTGTGTGATTAAACTGTTCTACCAAGGAAGTAAAAGGCAAATGAAAAATTTAGAAGTGACCCATAGAAAAGTAGGGAGAGGCCAGGGCAGAAGCACACAAGTAAATAAGTTGCTGGTAATGTTAAATGTTTTCAGCTTAGGCCCGGGCAGGTGGGTTCACAAATACTAAAGAAAGAAAGATCCTTGCAAGTAACGGATGATGCAAGAATTACGGGTAAATCCAGTTCTGGGCATCAGAGGTTATGGAAAGAAGAAAAAGTCAAAGACTTGCTAGAATGGTAAAAATAACACTGGGAGAGAAAATATG